ACACTGCTATCTGAAGTCTGCTGCTCTGAGCATGTCAGTTGGAGTGATGACATCATCGTGTTCCATTGCACAGATGTTTATAGTTGAGCTAACGAGCTCCCTAGACATCAAAGGCTTCATTGTTCTGAATGAGAGATAAACCTCTTACATGTGAACGTTTTGTGGAAGAACCGTAACAGATATCTGTGAAATTTCAAAACGTGAAGCATGTCAAGGAAGTTGAGTATCTGAAATGTAATTTTTGTGTAGTTTCGGGTAAATAATGTGGCCTTTTTGGCAGTTTAACTAAAGGTGTGCGGCTGCTTCCGTGAGGAAATATCTGCCTGAAATTACAATGGGGCTTAATGGAGGAATGTTGAACGTTTTTGTCACTTCATGCCCTCAAAAAGCATTTTGTTTCATTATTTTTGCTTAATTATTTGTCATTTTTCAAGCTACGAGATGTTTTCCTACATTTGTCATGATAAATTATGTCTCAGGAATGTAGGGTTTGGGAATTATGGCAGTTTTTAAAAAAAATATATGAATGCGAATTTCAAGCTGTCCTCCACTCTAGCTTTGACATCACGCAATCTAGTTAATGTTAAAATGTGAAGAAAACTTCTAAAACAAGGTCTGAACAATGTTTAATATCTCTAAAAGTAAGAATCAGATTTAAAAGTTGTTTTACACAAATAATGTCAGAAAGATGTGTAACATTTTAAAGTTGGAATGAGGTTTCTGAGTGAAAGTATGAATGAACAGTTAGCAGTTGAAGTCGCATGAAGATTTGTTGAAGTTGAAGATTTCCTCCATTGACTTCAATGTTAAAAATGTGATGTATTATGGGATGTATCTCTGGAATTATGAAAGTTATGAATGAGAAAAGTAATAGCAAGCGATTCCCGACCAAGCTGAACGTTTTGATGTTTGAACGGAGTTTCTGCGATGTTCAATGCGGGAGGAGAAGAGGGCCAAAATAACCCGGCGGAATAATAATAAAAATTTAGTCCGTAGAAGAACAGTTAGTTGGAATGCTGTTAACAGCATTCCCACTAAATGACTATTTCAAGAAAACACTAACATTAAGGCTGGAACCTTAGCTCAGTGCATATGGGTTAACATACGCATAGATTCTGCTGTAGCTTAGTAGTACGAGTGTACAACTCATCAAAATTATATTGCAAAATAGACTAGTCCAATGTTTAAATCGCAGTAGGCACAATACTTGTTAAAGGCTAAATATGTATTTAAATACCTTTTTTAAATGAAGTATTGAGGAGCTGCATAGATATCCAGACGTACTTAACAACACAGATTTGTTTTGCACAGATCCTCATTAAAAAAATCACACCATGATCATTTCATGTATTTTTCAATGATGAATGAGAATATTGATGCAAAAATGGTCATGCCCTCCTATATCCTCGTTATCATAATATTGGTCAAAATAAACGCAATTGGTTAATTCTTCCAAATCATGCAGACCGAATGATAAGCCATTTTGGCCTAACAAAGGTATTATATGGAAGTGTTGTCTCTTCATATACTGCAGTGCCCATGGATGCTCACCTTGTTTCTCCCCTGCAGTGTGACGTCCTCTGAGAAGGCGGACAAGGCCCAACGCTATGCAGACTTCACCCTGCTCTCTGTGCCTTACCCAGGTAAACTACCAGTCACTTCGCTCACTCACTTCACCAGAGACTGAACAGTACATTGTCCTGTCAAATACTGTTTATCAGCAGATATTAGTTTAATGCAGAGACAAAGAACTTACAGTAGCTGTGTGCCAAGTAATAAGACTACTAGAAGGCCTCTATAATAAAAAAAGTAAACTGTAATACAAATCCAGCACATTTCCACTCATATCAGAAAGGAGAAGAAATGACGCAAACTGTCAACATTGCCTCATGATCATATGATTTTAAAGAATCCAAAGCCATTGTTAAAATGACTGTCGAATGCCTTCTTTAGGAAACCAATCATATCTGACTCAACACCATTTTCAAAGACATGGAACAGGATTCATTTGAAAAGTTTTTTGTGCAAAAAGTCTTCTTGCATCAGAGAAAATAGTAGTCGGCATCAGCTATACATCAAAGTTACAGAGTAGACTGTTGATCATTTGGATTTTAAAGAACAGGGCCACATTCTGTAGCCTCAGTTTAACTCCTGACCAAGTGTGCTGAATGTGTTTCTTTTTTAGGGTGTGAGTTTTTTAAGGACTACAAAGACAGAGACTACACAGCGGAGGGTCTGGTGTTCAACTGGAATCAGGTACAGAGAGTAGAGAGTGTGTTCTCTGACTGTACTGCAGCTCGGCTCTGATTTATTCACCTGATGACTCTGTGTCTCCACTCTCAGGACTATGTGGACGCTCCTTTGACAATCCCACTGGGCTTTACTCAGAACTTGAACATCGACTGGACTCGATACCAGGTTACTCTTCTTCTAATGTGTTCACTCTGTTGCATCCACTCTACCAGCTGTGACTCACTTCTTTACTCTTATATTTGTGGTGTGTGAGTGCCATCTGTTGTCCATCCTGTAAAGTGCTTTAGTCATGCTTCACATCCAGTAAAAAGTCCCAGTGCAGAGCTCTAAACCTCACTGACTCAAACACACATTGTTCAAACCCACACAACTTGAAGTCAGCACCCCAAAAAATATCATATGTAAGGCTGAACTTTGGGGAAGTGTATACAACGATAGACAACCACAAATAACCGTTGGACTTGTGTTAGGATAAAGGCTGTCAAGCAATTAAAAGGGAATCTAATGAATTGCCTGCTTTGTGATGAATGAATCTAAATCATGCTGGCGGTGTTATTCAACACTAGGCAACGTCAGTATAATGATCCATTCACAAAGCATAACATAATATTTAAACATGCTTTTAATTTGAATAAATTATCAAAGTTAACAGGATGATTTGACAGCTCTAGTTTTAATTAGGGGTAAAACAAGCTGACAGAATATAACAGCAATTTTTCTTCTTATGTCAAAGATATTCACTTTTGTTATATAATTCATTTACAAGATTTTTCCATTAAGAGTTTATCTTCTTTTGATCACATGTATTTTCTTTTGTTTGCTTGTGCTTCTCTCAGTCGTGGGACCTGGTGGAGCAGACCCAGAACTACCTGAAGATGCTGCTCCACATCATCAACAGTGACGGTGGGTGCTGTTTCTGATGTAGCATTAGCTTTAGGATTGTAACTGTCATGGGATAAAAATTAGAACATTTGAACTAATGCATGATTTCATTATTGTTTTCTTCTATAGATTATTAGTTAAGACAATGAATAATAAAGGCCACATTTTAAGAGAGCAGAAACTAAAGTAAGGCCTTAAAATCCTTCCTTTAACAACCTTATTTAAGTCATTCAATGATAATAAACTAAATGTCAGTAGTTTCTGGTATGTTGCTCTGAAATAAGAGTCAATTTGAAAATGTAGCCTAGGGTTCTGCTTAACTGTAATGGGTTTTTTAACAACAAAATGTTTAGTCCATCAGTCGAGAAAAATAATCATTAGTTGCAGCCACATCATTGGAAGTGTATGGTTATGTTTCCTTTAATGCAGCTCTTTAAAATGTTTGGGGATTGCTTTGGCCGAGAGCTAATACCTTAAGAAGATGGACGCATTCTAGAATAAACTAGAAAATGCATTTCCTGCTGAAAATGCATGCGCATGCAGTAAACTGTGTACATTTGATGCTGAATTTAGCTGAAAAAGCTGAATATGTTATTAGCTGAATGGTAGCTGCTTTTAGCTACAGAGACCAAGTAAGTGTGTTGCTGAACTTAGCGGAGAAATGCAGAAAAGTGAAATGATTTGAATCACAATTGTTACAGCTCAAATGCATTGCAATGACTTTGTTGAAAACTTGAAAGTGAAATGTTAAACTGGAAGAGTAGGAAAAATAGTGAAGAAGCTTAATATTTAAAATGAAAGGTATAAACAACTAAATGTATAGCCTCAATGTCCTGAAATAGCTGAATAAGTTAATAGGAGTTAAATATTAAATGTAAATCGTAGTGAATGAATTTGTATTAAGAAGAGAAAGTAAAAACGCTTTGAAAAGCATCAGAATATTTTAACTGCAAACTTTTGAACTAAAACCATACGTCACCAATAATGTATAAAATATGTGGAACGTGTTGAAGTCAGTATGAAGTCTCAGAGAGAGAGAGAGAGAGAGAGAGAGAGAGAGAGAGAGAGAGAGAGAGAGAGAGAGAGAGAGAGAGAG